CATATACCCACTTTCCCTCTGGGACTTGCTCCTGTTGAAGCTCTTGTGAATTTAACTGTAGAAATTTCTGTAATAACCAGACACTCTTCTTTTTAATTCCAGTTATGCAAAGGGAGATTTGGACATATCTTACATCACATCCAGAATTGCTGGTATGTTTGCCAACTTTAACCATAAGGACACACTACGTAGCCCTATAACCCCCTAAGGACAACTGTAGCCATAAGGACTTTAGCCATAAGAACGCACTTCTGATTCTCCTTTCTGAGGACAGCTCCTGGGACACTGGCCCCCAGCACATCCCTTGCTGCAGTGTCAGGTGGGGTGCGAAGGGTGTGGCCTCTTCGGCAGCCACTTGCTCACCCAAGGTGTGGCCTGGGGCACCCATCCCGTGTCCAGTGCCTCCAGGCCCTGCCGTGGACAGTGCCAGTGTCAACCCAGCTTCTCCCCCTAGTCTAGAACTTTCTGGAACTCAAGTTGTGAGGGGAATGATGGAAGGCCATTCACATTTAAAACTTGGGTCTCCAGGCAAAAAAAAAAAACCAAAATACAGACATTTGGAGACTCTGTGTGCATCAGGCTCTCTAGCAGAACCTGCCGTCTGGAAGTCCTAGAGGGTCTTTCTTGTCAGTGGCCGACAGGCTCTGGGGGTCTGTGCTCCGTGGCTCCCCACCTCCTGCTGTACTGATGGGTCAGCAGCCGCGGGAGTGCAAGGAGCAGGGGGCTGAGTGTGGCCGAGTGTGGGCCAGTGGGTGCTGAAGCTCAGGAGGAGGCCCCACCCTGTCAGGCTCCATGAGTGGGGGCAGCGTGGCACTGACGTGGGCTGCTCTTTCAGTGATGTCCTTCCCAGCGGAAGGTGTGGAGTCGGCCATCAAAAACAACATAGAGGACGTGCGGCTGTTTCTGGACTCCAAGCACCCAGGACATTACGCGGTCTACAACCTGTCCCCGAGGATGTACCGGCCCTCCAAGTTTCACAACCGAGTGAGTGGCACTTTTGCTCTCATGGTAGTGGCCGAGATGTGGCACTAGGCAGACCTGTGACATCCCCAGGCAGTGGCAATGAGTGGAGCCAGGGCTCTGACGGTGGGGGCTCGGGGTTGTGATGACACAGGGCTGCCCGGGGTCCTCCTGCAGTGAGTGGCAGGGGTGGGTCTGCTCAAGGAGGATGCCAGAGCATAACTGTGAAGAGGTCAGGTGGGTTTCATTATGGCAACTAAGGACGCTGAAACCACGGTGCCCGTTGCTGCTTGCCTGTGAGAGAGCGTGAGGCCCCACGATGTTCTTGTTAAATAAATATTCAGACACAGATAGTTTTTACAGTATTTGAACGTACCCCAAGTGTGGGGAAAGGCACTTCTTGCCAAGTGAGCCGTGGCCTGTAGCACCACGCACTCCTGTCGTGCAGAGGAGCTCAGGAGCTGGGCCGAGGGTGACAGACGCCCGTGGGCAGGGGGAGGGAGGTGTGTGGGGTGGTGCTGTCCGGGGCGGTGCTTGTGATAAGAGGCCCCCCAAGCATGTGCACCCTGCTGGCGCAGGGAGCACAGTGAGCCAGCCCTCTCCCCACAGGTCTCCGAGTGCGGCTGGGCGGCCAGGCGAGCCCCAAGCCTTCACAGCCTGTACAGCATTTGTAGGAATATGCACTCCTGGCTCCGGCAGGACCACAAGAACGTCTGCGTCGTGCACTGCATGGTGAGTGTGAGGCTGCTCCATCCCGCAGCATTGTTGAAGTGCGTGAGTCAGGCCTGCGCTTCTCCTCAGGGATGCAGCAGAGAATAAACCATGAATGGGGGGAAACCCCTGCCCAGAGGAAGCTTAGAGCCGGTGGAGGAGACAGAGAGAACAGAGAGACCCAGGGTATCAGGCATGGCGGTGCTGAGAAGGGAGGCGAGGTGTAGCAGCTGGTGTCCCAAGTGGGGACGCAGGCTGGGCCCCATGCCATGAAGATGAGCCAAGCTGGTGTCTAGGCAGGAGGCTGATGCCCACCGTCACAGGCCTTTACTGGGGCCCTGATGAGACACCAGGCGGGGACATGGGGTACCCATGTGAGCCTGGGCACCACAGTGATGGTGGCTCCCTCGAGGCTCCTTGTGAAGCCACAGCATTCTGTCCACCACCTGAGGCTGGCAGCCAGCCAGCGTCCTGAGAACCAGGGTATGTTTGGGAGGTGCTAGGCTAGCACACAGACTCGTGGCAGGTCCTAGGGGAGCAGCTTCTGTCCTGCTATCTGCAGCCAGTGGCCTTAGGCCTGGGTGTCCCCAGCACAGCTCCTTTTGTTGCAGGGTAGCAAACCCCAGAGGGAGCAGCAACTGCCCCCACTGGGCCTGGTGCCCCAGCCTTATGGGATCCACCCTGCTGGGGAGTGCAGGCCCCGTGCCTTCTGTGGGTGCACACCTGGGTCCCTGGGTCCCTGCTTCTCAGGAAAGACTGCCCACACAGTTGGTCTCCCTGCCCCTCTTTACAGAGTGTGCAGGGTCCCCATGTGGCATTTTCTCGTCTCTCCGCCAGGCAATGCCCACATGGGCCTTGACAACTCAGTGCTGAGGCCACGCTGCCTCGTGGGACCCTGTCTCGGCCTCTACTTTCTGGCTGAGGACAAGCCTTGTTTCCAGTTCCCCAGATGCACAGCAAGGGTTAGGTTTGTGGTGTCTCACACAGTGGGGCGCCTGCCAGAATGTGTACTCGGAGGTTAGCGCCGCCGTTCTGCTATTGATGAACGTCACAGTAGGCGTGATGATGAAGGGGGTGCCATGAGGGGAGAGCACCAAGGGGACGGCGGGCGAGTGTGAGGTCCCAGAGGGACCATGATTGTGAGCGGTGTCCAGCGGGAGCAGCTGGCCAGCCTGCGCTTTTTGCGAAGGAAGCTTTGTTCTTGTTGGACTCTGGATTCCCGCCTCATCAGGCATGTTTCTGTCGGTTTCCAAACGTGCCCTGGACCCAGGAGGGAAGCCTGGGCTTGTTCTCTAGGGGCTGTGGGTCACGAAGCCCACCTTCTACCCGCTGCGGCCATGTGAGCTGCCCTGTGCCCTTGGTCCTAGGATGGGAGAGCCGCGTCCGCTGTGGCCGTCTGCTCCTTCCTATGCTTCTGCCGACTCTTCAGCACCGCAGAGGCTGCCGTGTACATGTTCAGTATGAAGCGCTGCCCGCCGGGCATCTGGCCATCCCACAAAAGGTACCGTGTGTCCCGCTGTGGGGACGTTGGTTGTGGCGTTGCCTGTGCCTGGATCTCAGCTGTGGGCACTGGGAGGTGGGAAGAGTTTCAAGAAGGAGTGAGGGTTGTACACCGTTCGGGTGGAGCATGGGTCTGGCGAGTGCGCCTCTGCCCCATACCGCTGCCCACAGAGCCCTACCAGGCTAACTTGATGGTCCTGCTGTGCAGGCAAAGAAGCCCCAGGCCAATCACAGTTATGGTGGGCTGGGATTTGAGCCCTGCTGGGGCTTACAAGCTAACGAGGGGCCATGCCTCTGTCCAGTTCCTGGGCACCAGCTTTTCTAGCAAGTGTGGCCGTGAGCCCAGTCTGAGCCCAGCATGGCCACTTGCTCATTGGGCGATGGGGACAGTGCCTCTTGTCACATGTGGGCTTGCTGCCTCCATGGAGCCCTGTTGCTCTGGGCTTGCTGTGGGCTTGTTTCGTTGGATGGGTGACACCTGGGAACTGTGATGCTGCATGGACGGAGTGGTATTGTCTTCTGCTGTGAGGTCATGCTGTGTCAGGGTCCTGGGAGACACTCGGGTTTTTATGCTGCTCTGTGTCAGCACAAAAGCATCTCTACCGGCCAAAGGGAATGGTTTCTCATGGCTGCAACTGGCCCTGCCCGCTCTGCTCTCTTCCTCTTCCTCGGGGATCACACCCTTCACCAACCAGGCTGGCCTCTCCTGTCATTTTGCCCCCTTCTGTCCACCCCCTGCAGCGACAGTGGCCTTTCTGATGCTCAGTTCTGAGGAGTCGCTTCCCAGCTCACAGCCTCTCCGTGGGCACCCTGGGGGAGCACTTCCCTCCTCTGCAGGAATGGACCTTGGCATAGACAATGCAGACCCCGAGAGTCGGGGAGCCAGAGCCCATCCTGACCCTGCTGCCCGCTCACTCCTGCACCCCCAGGAAGAAAGAGACTGCATCCAGGCCAGCGAGGGGTCATTATGGGTCATCCTTCCCCATCTGGACGGCCGCACAGCTTGTTGACGGAGTAGGGGAGGAGTCAGTGCTGCTCCTACGTGGGGCCCCACCTTGCTGGCTGGCGGTCTAGGGACAGTGTTGTGTCCCTCGGCCACCTTGAGAGAGCTGGTGCACGGTTGTGTCATCTGTACAGCTCAGGGGTGCGGTCCTGTTGCTCATGCAGAGAGGCTGCAAAGCAGGGCCTAGACCACCAAGCACAAGAGATGGACTGCAGACCCTTCTAACACAGTGACCTAAAAGCCATTTCTTCCTGTATTCCACATACATCAGGGGTTCCCAAATTGCGCCTCTTGCTGTAGGATCCTGCTTAGCAGCCACTCACAGCCAGGGTCAAAGCTGGGAAGAGTGTCGTCAGTGGTGTGTGCCTGGCTCTGGGACCCCCACCAGAACCTGGAACCCAGAACCCATGGCTACTTTCTTGGAGATGTGCAGACGTGTAGAGCATTGTCCCACCCTAACAATCTAAGAGAGTGGCAGGACCAACTTCAAACGCATGACTTTCCAGAGCTGTTGGAGAACAGCAGTCGTCAGAACCATTAGCTGGCCCCACATCTGAGGAGATGGGCGCCTGTGGAGAGAGGGCACGAGCACTCACTCACCTAGCAGCTGTAGCATGATGCCAACAAGAAGGACCAGCAGGACAGTCACTGAGACCTAGTGCGCAGAAGCGGGCAAGGCCTCAGAGATTGGGAAATTGGCCCACTTGAGTCCCTGCCGGGCACTCACAGATCAGGTTGGAGAGGGAGGGCCAGCCGCTCTGGGAGGGGCACTGAGTGTGGCTCCCAGCGGAGCCTGAAGGAGACAGAGCAGTCTCTAGGACAGGACTCAGAGTGCTCTGACAGGAAATTTAAAGAAGTGATCAGCATGTTGAGGACTCTGATGGAGGGTGCACAGGATACAGGGCTGGGAGGTCAGTCACTTCGGCAGAGATGGACACTGAGGAGGAAGCGATGTGAGAAAGCACAGCAGCAGGGAACACTGCCTTCCTCTGGCCCACCAGTAGAGAGTGGGAACCGCCGCCACGGAGCTGGTCAGGAGACAGACGCTGCTCCAGCAGGGGCAGAGGAGAGCATCCCGGAAAGGACGAGCAGCCAGGCCTATCAGAGCATCTCGGACGGTCTAATGAGCAGGTGCCTGCAGCCCCAGAGGAGGAGACGCGCAGGGAGGAGGAGCATGGAGACACGGTCGCTGTGGGTTCCCCAGACCATCGGCAGACACCAGATCCAGCAGCTCCAAGGACAGCCAGCGGGATCGTAACACACACAGAAAACCCACTGAGACGTCCCGTATTCACACTGCTGGAAACCACACGAAGAGAAAATCAGAGATACAAATTACAGCCAAGTTCTTGTCAGAAACCCCAGCACAACCCATAGGGGTCTTTTTTATAGTGCTGTAATTGTTAAGTCAACAGAAGAAAAATAAAATGAAAGGATAAAAAATGCTCAATTAATCCAAGAGAAGACCAAAAAGAGGAAACCAAGAACAGATGGAACAAAGAGGAAATAGCTGTCAGGGAGGTGCACTTACTGCGGCCATGTCCATCCTCCCTGAGTGTGAACAGTCTGCAGCCCAGCTGAGAGCCCCACTGTGTCGCAGAGGCAGAGCCGGGCCAAGTGGTGCTGGAAGAAGGTTGGGTTAGTTACTGCCGGCCGCAGGACTGAGGCTTCAGGCAGCCCGTGTCTGTTATGTGTGTCTCTGTGGGTCAGGGCAGACGACTCCTCGCCAGGCTCAGACAGGGTGCAGCCGGCCGCCTTGTATGGACCTCGACTCCAAGAAGGTCTGCTTCTCCTTTGTTTTCGAATCTGTTTCCAAGCTCGCTCAGGTTGTTGGCAGGGTTCATTAGCTGTGGGTGCTGGCTTCTTGCTGACTGTCAGCAAGAGGCACCCAGCTTTCCTGCCCCCAGGCTGCCCCAACACAGCCATGGGGGAGAGCCCCGAGAATGAGTCAGCCAGCAAGAAGCGGTATGTAGTGTCTGCACAGCCATGGCCTCCCTGCCCTTCTGCTGGTCAGAAGCTGGTCATCCCTGCTGCCCAGGCTCGAGGAGAGGGACTTAGACAAGGGCAGGAGGTGGACGCCCTGGAGTGTGTGCCACAAAGAGGCGCCACAGAAGCACTCACCAGAGGAAGACGGAGTAACACCACCACGTTACAATAGATTCCAAATGTGTAGAGCAGAAACCTGGCACTGAAAGGAGGAATAGACAAATCAGGATTATAGTGTCGACTTTAACATTCCTCTCCCAGTAATCAATCAACTGGTGGACAGAAGGTCAGTTCAGAGTTTACCACCACCACCAACCGACTAAACCTAACTGCCAGCTGTAGAACATTCTACCCAGTGATGGAAAAGACACATTCCTTTCAGGTGCACGCGGAGCGTTCAGTAAGAAAGATCACGTTCTGAGTCCTTAAACCATGACAAATTTAAAGGATTAGAAATCATACAAAATAAGTTCACAGGCCATCGTAGAATTAAACTGGAGGTTGATAACAGAAAGATGGCTTGGAAAAGCCCTAAATATTTCAAAATTAAACAATCTACTAAATAATCCATGAGTCAGAGAGGAAATCTCAAGGGAAATTTACAGATATTTTGAACTGAATGAAAATTATAACATCAAATTTGAGAAATGAAACTAGAACATTGCCTCAAGGGATGTTTATAGCATTAAGTACTTATATTTGATTGAAAAAAGATCTGATTTGCTGACTGGGGCTCCAGGGACACAGAGTATACATGCTGACTACACAGAGCACATGTGATGTGGCATGTGGACTACACTGAATGCATGTGTGACGAGGCATGTGGAGGTGGAGCATGCACAGCAGGTGTGTAACGTAGCGTGTGGACTATGCACAGAGCACATGTGTGACGTGGCGTGTGGACCATGCACTGAGCACTCATGATGTGTGGACTGTGAACAGAATGCATGTGTAACACAGCATGTGGACTATGCACAGAGCACTCGTACGATGTGGTGCATGAACAGTGCACAGAATGCATATGTGGCATGACGTGGACTATGCACAGAGCACTCATATGATGTGGTGTGTGGACTGTGAACAGAATGCACATATAACACGGCGTGTGGACTTCTCACAGAGCATTGTGTGATGTGTGTGCAGTGCACAGAATGCATATGTGACATGGCTTGTGGACTGCACAGAAAGCATATGTGACGTGGTTTATGGACTGTACACAGAATGCATGTGTGATACAGCATGTGAACTTTTGTAGAGCACGTGTGTGATGTGTGTGGATCCTGAACAGAACGCATGTGTGACAGGGCATGTGGACTATGCACAGAGCTCTCGTATGATGTGGTGTGTGGACTGTGCACAGAATGCATGTATGATATGGCACATGGACTCCGTGCAGAGCACTCATATGGCGCGGTGTGTGGACTGTACACAGAATGCATGTGTGACATGACATGGACTTCTCAGCACACGTGATACGGTGTGTGGAGTGTGTGCAGAGCACACGTATGATGTGGTTTGTGGACTCTTCACAGAAAGTGTATGTGACAAAGCACGTGGACCATGCACGGAGCACACATGTGATGTGGTGTGCCCCCTGCCCCTCCAGGTACATCGAGTACATGTGCGACATGGTGGCAGAGGAGCCCATCACACCACACAGCAAGCCAATCCTGGTGAAGGCTGTAGTCATGACGCCGGTGCCGCTGTTCAGCAAGCAGAGGAACGGCTGCAGGCCCTTCTGCGAGGTGTACGTGGGCGACGAGCGCGTGACCACCACGTCCCAAGAGTATGACAGGATGAGGTGAGCTCAGGGTCCAGGGCCTTCCTCGCCCTGTGACCATCAAGTGTGTTCATTCTCATTCTGTGGAAAGATGTTGCTGGGAGGTGGCGTTGAGGCATGCTCGCGAGGCCCCATCTCAGATTGAGGCCATGAGCAACAAGCAGACTTTGCATGCTAGTCTGGGGCCTGTGGGTGGTGTGTGTGAGAGGTTCCCACCTCATCCTGCTAAGGATTGGCTTTTTAGACATCATTTCCTGGAGCAAACCCCACCCGACCCCACCCCCCACCCCCCACCCCGAAGTAATTTGGTAGCAAAACCAGCAAGATGAGAACAGGTGGATTTGAGTGTTGATGCCTGGGGGATCTCGGTCCTGCATTGCTCTTTCAAGGTGACTCTTCACTAGAACTTGACTCTTTTTGACCTAAGGGAACAGTTTCTCATTGTTCTGTTCTTTAGGGATTTTAAAATCGAGGATGGCAAAGCGGTCATTCCCCTGGGCATAACAGTCCAAGGAGACGTGCTCATTATCATCTATCACGCCAGGTCCACCCTGGGAGGAAGGCTGCAGGCCAAGGTGAGCAGGCGCTCGCTGTGTTCTGTGTCTCTTGCAGGAGGTCCTCAGACTCATGTTCAGTGAGAGCTTTGCAGGCTCACTCGGTAACTGCCTTTTGAGTCCCCACTTCGTGTAGTGCAAGGCAGAGGGGATTTTAGCCTGAAAGGCCCAGAGTTTCCCCCACATTACGGGACTGCTGTCTATGCGGTCTGCTGGGCTGGACCCTTGGGCTGCCCCACCACAGACCCCAAAAAGCCCCTTGTCAGAGAGGGTGCCGTCCCACTGTCCGTGTGTCTGTGGCTCTCAGAGCTTGTTAACTGTTAAATCTGTGCGACATGAGGGTCTGGTGGCGCCCTCCCCAGTTAGGGATCTTGTGTTTGCTTTCTCTCTGCAGATGGCATCCATGAAGATGTTCCAGATCCAGTTCCACACTGGGTTTGTGCCTCGGAACGCAACTACTGTGAAATTCGCAAAGTATGTTGGTGTCACCATGGGAGAGGGACCAGAGGGGTCAGGGTGTGTGGACACCCGCCAGCCGTGTCCATGTGTGAATGAGTATAGCGCAGTTAGGCTTGCAGGGCATTGTGATTGGTGCTCGGCCAGGGTGCATGCTGGAACTTCAGTCTTGAGTCTGTCCCCAGAACCAGGCGTGTTCAGTACGCCACTCCTTGTTTGGACCACGGTGGCTGCCATGTGCACCTCAGTGACTGGGGACTGACCCAGTGCATTTCTTGTTAGGATGTAGCCGCTTGCACACTACATGTGGCAAAGCCAGATGAACGAGTGTCCCTGCATTGTGACACATTCATTCCGTGCCTCTCCTGTGCACAATGTTCTGCTAGTCACAGGGTTCGGAGCTCATTAAGAGAAGCTCACAGTCTGGTTTTAGACACGAGTATAAATATAATGCAGCACTTGTTATTAGTCTACTGTACTCTTCAGATACGTTAATTTGTCAAAATCTCATGTATCAGAGGCCTGGAAATGTACCCCAGGCCCTCAGTAAACAGCAGGTATCATGCAGTTCATGTTCTGAGTGGAGCTGCTCCAGCTGAAGGCAGCTGGGCTGACCAAGCTGGTATGCGGCAGAGCGAGCTTCCACACATGGGCATTTGGATTCCAGTCATCTTTCTACTCATTCGTACTTGCACAGGCACATGCACTTTCCACCCAAACTTACTGTTGTTCCAGGAGCAAGAGGGGAGCTACGTGGAGGGGCTCTAGAGACAGCCGCCTACAGCTACCCCAGACCTGCCTTCTCAAACTCTGCTGGTTTCCTACCCAGTAAACCAAGGGAAATGTTAGGATCCAACCCACAAGGTCCCGGGGAGGTCTGTAGCTCTGACCCCTGGGGTCCCGGGAGGACTCAGTGCCTCATGCAGGTGGTGTGCCGCACGGGGCCTGCACGTGTGAAGGCTCAGGGAGAATGGCACCTGCTGCCCTCACAGCCATCAGCCTCTGAGGTTGGACGTCTTGTGTTTTGATATATTATTACTCTTTTACATTTCTCACATTTCTCATCTTTGTAGTGTTTTTCTTGTATTGGCATTTTACAGTGTTATTCCTAAGTGCCGATGTGAAGATGACGCTACAAAGACAGGGAATGCCACAGCTGTAACTTTTCTGAGTCTTCCTCCTTTGGAGGAGCATGACCCCCAGAGCTTCGGTAACTTTTAACAACAAAGAAATCATCCTTTAAAAACTTTTTTTTAAGACTAAATGACTGAAGACCAAAAGGAAAAGTATGTGATGGCCTACAGCTGAGTCGGGTACTGGAGTCAGGAGACAGGGCCTCAAGTAACTGATGAGTGAGCTCAAGAAAACAGAAAGGGGCATTTTGCTAGAGACCTGGGATGCGTAAACAGGATGCAGTTACAAATTGTGGGACTGAGAGCTGTTACAGCTGAAGTGGATTCCACCAATTTGTGTATTAGCAGAATGGACACAATAGCACAGAAGCAGTGAACTGGAACAGAATATCTTCAGAGTGCAGCACTGAGGAAGATGACGGAAGATGCAGAAAGGGTCATGGGAGAGATCTGGGATGCTGTGGAAAGGCTGGGCATGCTTTTATTTGGAGTCCTAGGCGGAGAGAGAGAGAATAGAAAAGAAACAATATTTTGAAAATTAGTGACTAACAACTTTGTTAAACTGATGAAAGACATCAAACCATAGACTCAAAAGTGCTGCCAACGCCAGCAGGAGTGTTTGTAAGAGAGGAGGAACCTCACCCAAGCCCATCCCAGCTGAATCGCTGAGAAGCAGACAAACTTCAAAGCCCCTGGGTGGAGGGGAGGGACACTCGGGGCCTTCAGAGTGACAAGATGGACAGCTGCCTTTTAACTGAAGGGATGGGAGCCAGGAGTCCTTGGGGGACCCCTTCTGAAATAGTAAACAAGAAGAGTGGCCAACTTAGAACCTCTCCGATGAGATGATCCTCCAGAAGTGGAAGTCAGGGGCCGGCCGGTGGCACAGCGGTTAAGTGCACACATTCTGCTTTGGCCGCCTGGGCTTCACCAGTTTGGATCCCGGGTGCAGACATGGCACCACTTGGCAAGCCATGCTGTGGTAGGCGTCCCACATATAAAGTGGAGGAAGGTGGGCATGATGTTAGCTCAGGGCCAGCCTTCCTCAGCAAAAAGAGGAGGATTGGCAGCAGATGTTGGCTCAGGGCTAATCTTCCTCAAAAACAAAAAAACAAAACAAAGTTGGTAAAAAAAAAAAAGAAGAAGTGGAAGTCAGACAAAGATGTTTTTGGGTGAACAGAAGATGTTTGCAGTATGCGGTATCAGACAAAGGACACAAGTCCGGAATATAGGAGGAATCACAGGCCGAAGAGAGGAAGACAGCCGTTAAAAACAGCAAAGGACTTGACCGGCACTGCACCAACAAGGAAGTCCCACTGGTCAATGGGTGGCTGAAGGAGTGGTCCCCGTCCTCGGTCATCAGGGAGACACTCTTGAGGCCGCTGTGCGCTTTGACTGGCAGCTGAATGAGAGACAGGCATTTATAGCTGCCGGCAAGCGTCTGCAGCTCCTGGAACCCACACTTACTGCTGCCACTGCGCAAAGTCTGGTTGAGCTGTGTCCCACAGATGTGTCCCCCAGGGAAGTGAGTGCCTGGGACCAAGAGCAGACTCATGGAGGAACGCTCCTAGCACCTTTATTCTTAGCAGCCCCAAATGAGGAGGAACCCAGTGCCAGCAGCAGCAGGATGGATAATGAGCTGTGGCATGCTCACACGTGGGTGGCATGCAGCAGTGAAGCGTGACGTACACAGATGTAACCATGAGCAAAAGGCCACGACTGTCCATGTCTCATGACCCGTTTTATCGGCTCAGGCCTCATGTGGTTGTAGAGGTCCAGGGCATGGCTGCCTTTGTGGGGCTGGCTTTGAGGGGCACAGGGACGCTCTTGGGGGTGGCAACACACAGTGTAGTTTTCTGAATGTACCACCTACACGAGTATAGCACCTTGTGGAAACATAGTCTTAGATTTGTGCGTGGCCTTGTATGTTATGCCTTCAAAACTGGATTAATTAATTCAGGAAGAAGAAAGCTGTTGAGTTGTCTGATTGATGCAGGGAAGTGTGTCTCTTCCACGGGCAGGATTTGTTTTGCACAGAGGCATTGGAACAGGACACTTCGAGGGGCCAGCCCCGTGGCTGAGCGGTTAAGTTCATGCGCTCCACTTCAGCAGCTCATGGTTTCTGCAATTCGGATCTTGAGCGCAGATGTGGCACTGCTTATCAGGCCGTTTTGAGGTGGCATCCCGTGTGCCACAACTAGAAGAACTCACAACTAAAATATACAACTATGTACTAGGGGGATTTGGGGAGAAAAAGCAATTAAAAAAAAAACAAAGAAACAGGCCAGTTCGAGAGAATTTGGAATGGCATTAGCAGGACATGCTCTCAGATGAACCAGAGATGGTCCATGCTGGTGAGGCCTCCTGTGACTGAGGGGGTCCAGTGTGTTAAGTGGATGGGGTAGAGGGTCTGTCCTGGCGAGGCCTGTTGTGACTGAGGGGGTCCAGTGGGATAAGTGGACTGGGTTCCAATCCTTGACACTCGTCAGCAGTTTTGTTTCCCAGCCATCCCTGAGCCCTGTGCCCTCTGATATCCAGGGAGCTTGGGGGCTGCACCCCTGCTCACAGTCCCTCATTGTGCCCTCACTGGCCTGCTGGGTGAGTGGGCAGGCCCAGGCCTGGGGCAGTCTCCAGGGGCCAGCAGGGTGGGGGTGCGGGGATGGGTGGCCGTCAGCGTGGT